TCTGAATACAAAGTTATGATAAAAACACTGAAAGAAGGTGCAGCTGCCTGTTTAAAACAAGAAATTCCGTTACATAATCCGTTAAAACAACAAATTCCGTTAGTTTTTCCGTTAAACCAACAAATTCCGTTAAATATGCACTTTTTATATATAGAAAGATATAAGTTGACGAAAAATTTTAAGTTTGTCCTTAAAAGTTTTCTTCCGACAAAATTTCAACCGAATATTACATTAAAATTTATCAAAATCTATTAAAAGTCTGATTTTTATCTAAACCAAGCAACTATGCAATCAATTATTAGAATCAATAGGTTTTCAAATTATTCACTTCCTTTCTTATTGGATGATCATGAAGAGAATGTATCTTTTTTTCTCGAAGGATCATGAAAAAATGGTCCGATTCTCCAGCAAGAATGATTTGAGAGATTCAAAACAAAAAATAGTGGCAGTTGCTAACAAGGGGCTAAATGTGTTCAGGGTTGAGAGGGGGAGAATGGGAAATAATGAATATATCGTTAGAACATATCTAAAAGATTCTTTAAATATAAAATACTCTTTATTTTAGAAAGTCAATATTTAAAAATGAGTTTCAAAAAACTCTTTTTTAACTTTTCAGAATAGATGGTGAGTTTGACTCTCAAAATTAATATACAATTATTACATTTAATAAATAGCATATTTTAATATTCTACTTTTTACACTATTCAAATCACATTTAGCCCATATTTCGTGTAGATTAAAATTAGTTTTTTAGTAGATTTTAGTAAGAATCGATGAAATGTTACTTTGATTTAGAATTTTTAGTAAATTATAATATATACAAAACATGGGCTTAAGCGCTCGTTTGACCTCCATCATTCCACATTAAAATAAGAAAAATATTATTTTTTGAAGAATGTTTTGTTAAAAAATAAGAATTTTTTTTATATTTATGTGCAATATTATTTTATTGAAACATATTTGATTGATAAGAAGAAAGAAAAAAATGAATTATAATTTAATGGGACCCAACGCAGGCTAAATTGATTGGTTAATTGATATTTAAATTTTTTTATCAAATAAAATATTAAAAAAAAAAACAATAAATATTTCTTGGAAGAAGCAAAATGAAAAGTCAAAATAAAGTAAAAATTTTGACCCCTTAAATTAAATATGATCTTTATAATGCATAATATATTTTTTATAAATAAAAAATCTCTTGAAAATACTCTTATAATATAACGTAAACTATCCCATATGAAATGGTTAGAATAGACACGGAATCCTCGTATTTGTCCATAAATATTACAAAAGTGAGCTCGAATGCATTAATGCTCGGAAACGAAACTTGCCAAAACTACCAAATGAGATCATATAATGAAACAGCACATCCTCAAGCTTTATTGGTATTTGCACTAAACAACAGGGGCACGTTTTACAAATCTTGAACTATAATTTAAGTCAATCAAACAAACTTTTTATTTAACACATCTTGCGGATCCACAACTCAATACTCACTTACAAACCGCAGCTTAATTTTAATTTATGCACCCCAAACTAGCATTACAATGTTTGCCAAGTACTTGAAAACATTTTCAAGCTATCCCAAAATCCCAGTAGCATCCCAGGAAACAAAAAAGAAAACTAATCGTAGACGTGACAGGGAAGAAACTGTTGCAAGGTAGAAAGCCGAACTTAGCATTTCAAATGCCCAAACTTAAAGCAACTAGCTACAGTTAGTGTCTCCATGTCTAGTGGTAATGAAGACAACTTAGTGAGGAGACAAGATTCGTATAGCCAACCGCAAATATATGGGGGAACTAGACTTCAGAGCATGTTTAGCCCCTATTTGTCTCTCATTCTTTCAAAACTCCTTTTTCTACATACACTCATTTTCAACAACACATTCAAACAATTAAATATTCTACATGTAAACTCAAAATTTTTCCCTACTTTTGAACCATACATTCTCCAAAAATTCACAATTCAAAACAATGTTTTTCGAAAAAAAAAAAAAAGGCCACCATATAGGGGTTTAGTTATGCTTAGAAGTGAATCAAATTTACTTTGCACACACTTATTGCAAAACATACTAGAGGCTATATTAGTCAAGCATGTAGAGGAATTTAAACCAAACCAAACCAAACCAAACCAAACCAAAAACAGGGAATGGTACAAATAAAATCACACTATTATTTATCTAGTCAAAAAAAACTTACAACTACAATCTGACAGTAGCTCACCATCCCTATAGTAACATCCATAGTTGATTCAAGAATTCAGAAAGCAGAGCACTAAAACAACACAACATTTTGTCAAGCCAGCTACTCAAGCAATGCTGCTGGTATTAATAGTAGCTTTATGCCTTTCTCAACGAGGGAAATATTAACTTCCTGTTCTTCCGAGTAGGTTCAAGGCCATAATCCATACCATATGAACACGATTTTCCATACATCACCAGAAGCACAAAACATATGTGCATAAATGCAATGCCAAGGTACCTCAAATATCTGGTTACATTAGTGCATCTCACAAATCCACTACTCCACGAGTGTCTTCTGAAAGAAGGCAAGCAAATCATTAGATTATCTGAAAGAGAGAACAATCAATCCGGTCATTCAATCTCAATCTAATCCTAACTTCCCTTTCCAGAGCAAAAAATTTAAACTCAAGGGGATTTCAGATAATCAGGACCTTGTCAAACTATTAAAAATATAATGCAGTCCAAATTCAATCCGAAAAAAAATATTTCTCCTAAAATACACTTCTAATTTTGCATCACCCAGGCTTAATAACTACAGCAACTGTAAGGAATAAAATGATATATAACTGCCAGGAGATGTTCCATATAGATAGACAAACAAACAGAAAAAACAGATTCATACATGTATACCAAGAACTGGATATGGGTTGTGTTGTGCCACGTGTGTGCAGTCTTGTGCTTACAGTCTTGTGCTTGGGTGTGTACGTGTTGACATGCATGATAGAGAGAGGCTAATTGAAAAAATTTAAAAATCACCTCTAGTCTTGCTACTGAATTATTTTTGTAACCCTTAAAAGTTTTTGAGTTCAAAAAAGAATACAGCTTCCTATGCAGGAACCCAGCACGAGCTACCACAAATAATCCTGCCCTTCCATCCCTGTAACATCCAATTGCTATCTTCGTCGAACAGGAAATCTTTATGATAACCCGCCTTCACTTTATTCCTTAATTTCTTCATAATCTCGCAATTCAAAGGGAGGGGTTTGAATCCGGCCCTCATAGTGCGGACTTGCCACTGCTTGTATGTCTCGGGATGCTCGACCCTTCCTGCCCCCTCACATGCAATAACATTTATTATCTCGCGCCCATAAAAGTCTTGTTCAAAATTCATCCTCTGTGGATTGTCACGAGGTAAGGTAGCATCAAACATATCAAACAATGCCGAGTAGTGAAAGAGGGCCTCCTTGAATCGTGTAATGAAGAATGGAGCACTATATGATCCACTGGTAACAGCATGCAGAAATACATTTGGATTCATTTTCCTAATCAAGTTCAGAACTGCATCCCTGGGGCAGTCGACTTCAACAGTCTCATCAAGCAATCTGCCAAATCGAAACAGACAGTTCACAGCAAGCACCTCACCATGTGCAATCTTCAGGTCCTCAATTTTAATAGTCTCCCAATTCTGTGTGGCTATGGCTTGATACTCAAATGGCACACCAAACCGTTCACAGTATTTCGCCAAGCGGCACCCAGTCTCTTCTACTCTTTCAGTTGGACGAAAACCAGGTTGTGGAAACTCGATTCCGGTGATCCGCAGCTTGGGTGGCCCACCAGATCTCCTTGAAAGCTGCTGAATGAGAATAGGCCACTGGAAACCATAAAGAATACCAAAATCTACAATGTGCAGAGTTGTTGCTTCCGATGCTGCTTCCCCAATCATGTTATTTGCAAAGGAAATTGATATCTTCTTGAATGGGCAGGCCGAAAGATAAACCTGGTAAGCTTTTAATTTCTCAACAGCTGTAATCTTCTTGGATGCAAGGGATGCATAAATCTGGGTTCCAGTGCCTGAAAAGCGTGCCTCAAGACCATAAGCAAATACATATGCCAACCTCTGATATGCATCACCAGTAGGAGAAGCGTGCTGCCTAATCTGTTTCAATTGTTCATATGCCGTTCTACGATCATCAGCAGCTATAGATTGTGCACAGCTGATCAAGAGAGTCCTGAGGTCCACAGCTTCACTATTGCTCTCTTGCTTCTTAGCGCGAGTTCTTCCGCCATTCGACCCATTTGAAAGTACAGGCTGCAACAAGTTCTTTTCCTCTCCACTAGGCAATTGGGCATCAACATTACATTGCATAGGTTCCCCTTTGACATCAGTGCAAAGGAGAACTCTGTCAAACATTTCAGATAATTCCACATCCTCTACATAAACTGCCGATTGCTTGCTGCTCCTCTCCACATTCTCCAAATCGCCATCCTCTGGGTGGTGATGCTTTCTTCCCCTTGAGCCATTAGTTAGGTGATCTATCTCATCCTTTTCTACCTTGACCGTGACCCTTTGAGACATTTCATCTGATTTTGGAGGTAACGTGTATTTATCCAAGTCAATAATCAATTGATTACTTGGGGGAAGGAATTTACTAGCTTCTTCCATACCTCTCTTGAACTGCAAGATAGACTCACTATCGCTGAATATATTTGGAATTAGGCTGGTATTTTCAAAAGAGCTTACCTTGATATTGGTATTATCGTTGAAGCTGTTAACGGAACCAAATGACCATTGTGAACTAGTTTTCGTTGATTTGGTAGCATTATCCAGCAACTGACTCTGTTCCACTGACGAATTAAACTCACCTGGATCAACAACCCAATGTGGATCAATGGAATTAGCACCATTAGTGCTGCTGTTCGTGTACTCGCTGGAACTCCCCAAAAAGGTATCTCGGCTTTCCGAACTGCGGTTAAAGTAATCAGATTGTTGATGCGGTGAAGGTGGGTACTTCTGGCCAAGGACTTCATATAAGGATTTCTCAGCAGCTTGTAAAGCAAGTGGATCATGGAACATGCTCGGCTTATCATCCATGTTCTCTTCAATGAGTATCTGATTTAGGTACTTTAGCACTGGATCAGAATCTTGATCGTCCGGAGATTCCACCTCAGAGCTCCAGCTTAAAGATGGAGTGAAATTTTCGTGGCTCGGGCTAAATGAAGTGAAAGGGATATCTGCAATATTAAGGTCTAAAGAAACATCATCTTCATATCCAGTAACCTGGTCATGAGATTGCTCAAAACTGGGTAAGACAGTCTCATCATCAAATCTGAATCCATTCACCGTATTGTGCATTTCACTGAGTCGGGGATCCATAATTGTAACCACCTCAAAACCCTGCATCAAATGAAATATGAATAAATCGAACCAAAATTCTTAATTCAACGAATGAGTAAGATGGAAAAAAATTATATCTTGACCTGAAACCTGATAAACTACCATAACTAACAGTAGAAATTAAAATGCATGCTTGCTGTTAGAACTTAAAATTACCAATTTTTGAAAATCCTACATTGATCAAACTGAACTTCAGGTGCTCAAAGGGAATATGGTATATCTTCCATTCCTCAAATAAAATACAAAAATAAAAATAAAATGAAAATATACATAAGGCATGGAAGATAATTGGAATGGCCGATTGGAGCATCCGCAACTCCACATCCTCAAAGGTTTTCGAAAATCATTTTCACCCCTGCAATGATCAGTTTATGCAACAAAATCCTCTATAAGATAATGTCGTCCCCCCAGAAAAAACCCTTCTTATGTATATATTAATTTCCCTCCTAACACCGATTTCTAGTTTGGACTTAAAAGAGAGAGAAAACTAAGTTCAAAACTCTAACTGAATCATTAAGCAGATGCCTAAAAAAGCAGCTGAAAGGGAATCCATAATATTCTGCAATACAAGAAAATAATAGCTGAAGATCAAACAATCAATTTACAAAAAACTTTAGAAAACATCAAATCACACAACATAGTCAAAAAATCAGCAGGGAAAAAGTATAACTGAAAAATTAAGTAGAAACAACAGTTTATTTCTTATTCAATTCAAAAATCAACAACACAATTTAAAAAATCCAGGAAGAAAAAACAAGCAGAAGAAGAACCCACAACGCACAAGATCAAAGATCCGAAAATTTCCAGAAAAAAAAGGAAAAAATAAAAAGTAACACTGAACTTTTTTGAACGAGAGAGAGAAATCCTAACATCAAACCTCAGCGGAAAAAAGAAAGAAAGACACAAAAATATTAATTTTTATTCAGCCATGCTAAACAAGTAAGAAATCAAACTCCAAAGAAGAAAAATTATTTTATTCTGCCTTGTTTATGTGTGTACCTGAATTGATTAACGAAAAAGGAGTGGACGAAGGAAGATTCTACAAAATAGATAACTCTGTACAGATATAAATAAAAACCCTAGTAGCTTTCTCCCAAGGTGATGATTTTTTCTCCAAAATGGTGATGACTCGACGAAACAGCCTAGTAATATAAAATTAAAGTGAGGAAAAATAACTCAAATATTAACAGCATATTAACCACGTCTTTCGTGAATTTCACAATTTTTCAACCACACATTTTAAAATTTTCTATCACAATTTACAAAAAATAGTTGAACACATCGGTATGTGGTGCTCAGGCATGTTTGAGCCATATTTTTGTATAGTAAATTAATGGATAATATAGGGATTAAAAATAATAAAGTTGAATTGTTTGTAATATTATTTTATTAAATAATGTGTGGTTAAAAAAAGAGAGAAAAATATATTTTCAAAAAAATATGGATCAAACAAGATATTATTCAGCTGTACATTTGCTGTTTGATGAAAGAAAATTCACTTATACTTTTGACTTTTTGATATCTTATCTGCTTCCGTCCTATAGTCATTTTAGTCCCTGTTTGAGCCATATCAAAATTTTCATTTTCATTCTTCCACTCATTTTCAAACACATATTTTTCAATAAAATAATATTTTTCATCACATCAATATATTTTTCTTCTTTTTCAACCATACATTCTTCATCAATCTACTATTTCAAAATACATTCTTCCAAAATAATGTGGTTCAAACACACCCTTAGGGATGACAAAAAAATTCGACAAACATGATACCCGCCGAGCCCCGCCCCGAACGGGGCGGGGAATTTTGCC